GGGGGGAAGGAGGTTGGACTATAGGGGGGGTATAAGTGGTTATAGAGGTGATATAGGGGGTATAGGGGTGATATAGGGGGTACTTGGGGGGGTAATGAGGGTGTTGGGGCCGGTTGGGGGGTCGTTGTGGGGGTGTATGGGGGTATTGGGGGCCGCTATGCGCGTTTGTGCCCGGGTGGTTGGGCATGCCTAACCAATTCGGTCCCAGGCCACTGTCTGAACGGGCCTGGGCGCAGACACTTTGGCCGAGACTGAAGCTCCGTGGGAAGCAAGGAAATCGCCCGCCACTTTCCATATAGGAAAGGGCTGGGCGCTGGGCTGGGTAGTCGGGCACTTGCAAGTTGTGGCAGCACTGCTGGAGCAATCGCTCGCGGGCTGCTTGCTGCGCTAGCACAGGTGCTGTGTGCACGCGCTGACGTGCAGAGCAGGGCACTGCTGAGGACTGCGCCATAGCCAGCCCCCATAACCGGGCTTGGCTCGGTCTTAGTCAGCGAGTGGTGGTGGTCTTCGTGCAAGAGAGGGAAGACGTGGGTAAGAGAAGACGAGGGAGAGTGAGAGAGATGAGGATGATGGCACATAACTGGTCTTGACGATGGTCTACAAGGTCGACATCTCATGCACTTCAGTTGTTGCTGATAACTGGTCTTGACGATGGTCTACAAGGTCGACATCTTCATGCACGTCGGTTTTTGCTGCTGACGTCAACTGGCTGCATTGTCAATTCGTAGGCTGCTCGTAGCTGTGTAGTAGCAGACTGGGGGCTGAGCACCAAGTAGGAGGAAGGGCTTACCCGTAGACGTGCACTCAGGAAAGGAGACTGCGGAGAGAAGCCAAAGAGAGGACGGCATCGCAGAGGGCTGGGGAAGCAGCAGCCAATGCTGAGAGGGCACTAGCGCCAGCCACAACAGCAGACGCTAGAGCCGACGCTGAGGCAGCCATGGCTACCGCCTCCACCATGCCACAGGCCTCATCTCAGGCCTCTTCGTCAGGTGTCGGTCAGGGTGTGTCCCAGGTTTCCGTTAGTCAGTCTGCTGGCTTGCAGGTCAGCCAGCAGCACCCCATGTCAGATGCGGATTATGAGATCCAACACCCGGATGCTCTCCGCACAGAGTTACAGAACCAGCTCCGGGAAGTAGAGGGAAGGAGAGCAAAAGCGAGGATTAGAAAAGCCAGACTAGAGGCAAGGGGAGAGGAGTTGGGCAAGTCAGAAGCTATAGATGAGTTGACTCTAGGGTGGTCCCTTAGGAACTCTTTATTGAGTGTAGCACGCCCTTTGGAACTCTTTGTTGAGTGTAGCAGAAGTGCAAGCTGTGCAGCAGGAGATGTTGGCTGCACTGGTAGCTGGTCAGAACTAGATTCTGACCGAATTGCGGGCACCTCGACCTATGTCAGGCAACCACAGTTTGCTGTAACTTTCCCTACGGTTGAAGGTCCAGTGATGACGCTGCCGCTGACAAGGCAACCCTTTTCCCCTCAGTTTGGCATACCCCCATCAGGCGGTCTAGTAGTAGGTAGTAGTGGGCAGATTCCTGTACAGACTACTTCGTTTCCCCAACCCATGGTTACCGCTACAGGGCAGCCACAAGTGCAGCAGCCCTTGCAACAGAGTCAGCCACAGCAGCGGCTACAGCAGCAGCAGCAAGTGTCGCTGCAGGAACAAGTGCCACCGCAGCGGCCTGTTCCATTGGTTACTCAACCGATGAAGCAGGCACAGGGTGTTGTACAGCCTACCCAGGCACCGCTGGGGCTTATCAAGACCTTACCCATCCCTACTGGCCCAGGTCAAAGAGTGTCCATGGATTTCATGGATACCCTTGCGACTACCAAAAGCGGTAAATGGCACATCTTCGTCATTGTGGACAGGTTCACTACGTATTCTTAGACTAATCGCAATGCCCGAGACAGCTAGGACTGACCACGTCACCAAGCTATTTATGGACAACTGCGTACGTGACTTCGGTCTCCCTAAGTCTATTGTGAGCGACAGGGATGTCAGATTCGCTAGCAAACTGTGGCAAAGTACAGCCCAAGAGATTGGCACGCAACTGCAAATGACATCAGCGAACCACCCTGAGTCAAACAGACAGACCGAACAAATGAACCGGGAAGTGCAGCACTTGCTTAGGCATTATATTAAGTCAGGTCAAGATGACTGCGATGAGAAGTTACCTCTCATCGCCAGCCTGTATAACAATGCTGTGCACAGCACTACCGGTAAGACCCCCAACCAACTGCGTCTTGGTTGGAAGCCCAGATCTGCTCTTGACTCCCTGCTGCCTGAAAACCAGCCAACCACAGCACTTGGTAGTCTAGAGTTTGTTGTCAAGTACGAACAGATGCTGCAGCAGGCTGTGGAGCACATCAAGAAAGCTCAAGATGCCATGGTTGCATCAGCGAACAAACACAGACGACTGTCTGCATTTCAGGTAGGGGAACGAGTCTGGGTAAAGTCATCTGAGTTGGGACACGTAAACTGATGCCACAGTACTTGGGACCCTGGGAATTCTTGATATAGTGGGAAATCAACCGTCTGGTCCTTCATATGCCATTCGCATCCCTGGTCACCTCTGCACACACCCTGTTTTCCATGCCTCCAAGTTAGCACCTTTCGCTGAAACAGAACAGTTTCCCTCATGAAGATCAATGCTTCCCCCAACCATGGACGGACGCGTCGACATTGACGATATTGTCTAGCACAAGCTGATGCCTGTACCCAAGCCTCCAGGCAGGGGATGCCCTCCAAAACCGCAGATGCAGTATCGAGTACGTTCCAGGCATCATACGGATCCTAAGGAAGATCAATGATTGACCAGAGAGGAATTGATGAAGACTGCTCCCAAGTTATCACAAGTTATGAACGAAATTTGAAAGGGAATCAGCCTGCTGGGTAATGACTGCTCAGTGGATCAAGACACAACCTGTTCTCTCCGACGCACGCAAACGCTGGATTGAAGTCATAGATCAGTACGACTTCAAGCTAGATTGCATGAAAGGAGAGTATATAACAAGGTTGCTGATGCACTGTCACGAAGGGCAGACTACCTGGGTGCGCTGATTACCGAGTTTGGCTTATCGGACAATGTAACTCGATCCTTGGTGGAAGCCTACAAGGAAGACCCTATCACGATGGACATCATCCACAAACTTGAGGCCCAGGACAAGGCCACAACTGGTGAGTTTGTGATGGTGGATGGGTTGCTCTTTCTTGAGAAGGCAGGGTTCAAGAGACTAGCTGTGCCCTCTAGAGAGATTTTGCATAGTTTATTTTTAGGTGAGTGCCATGATGCAACAGGACACTTCATCTACAAGAAGACTAGTGCTAAATTGGTACAGCGATTCTGGTGGCCTGGTCACGCTGTTGCGTGGCTGCATTGTGGCCAGGGTGCTTGCGAGGTGCACGAGAGGTGAGAGGGGCGCTGCTGGAAGACCAATGTACGTGATGTCAACACCATAGCCGGCCCCTCTCATGCACCAGATACGTATATCATCTCACCTCATTAGACCCTGTCCTCCCACACTCGCCTCCTTCCTGAAGACAACTGATCGCCCTCTTACCCCCTAGCGCCCTGCTGTAGGTAGGATAGTCAAGTAGCGCAGGCTGGGTGCTGGGCGCCAGGCAGAGAGGAGCGACTTTGGATACTGCGTTGGTGTGGCCTGAGGGCTTGAACATTGGCTCATTACTTCATTGTATTCCTCTTATTTTGATGGATTCTCGGCGCATTTGTGCTCTCTGGTTGTACACGACTACTTGGACATGTCTGATTTCGCAACTTGGCTTTTTGTATATCGTTCCCACTCATATTCCTTGCAATAGTCTGGGTAGCCTGAAAATATCAGAACTGGAGGGCCCCGCGCCGCACCGGTCTGTGTTTACCCGAAATCTCGGCACTCCCCTCTCAAACCATTTGACCCAGAGCAACATTCCAAGCCGTTGTCCAAAGGCAGGCTTAGGCTGATGACAGAATGTGGTCGGGGTGAGCTGCGACATGTTTTTTTTTCGAAGTGTTACACCCAACTGGAGGATTGTCAAAAGAAAGACATAGATGGATGGATTATCCCACAGTTCTTTTTCTGTGTGAAACCCAACTGGAGGATTGTCAAAAGAAAGAAATAGGTGGATGGATTATCCCACAGACTAGTAAGAATTGGCATGACAGAGGTTTGTCCCAAACAGTCTATCCTCACCTTCACAAAACCTTGAGATGTCGCAACCACGAACAAGCAGCGAGATTGTCGAATGTAGAAATGTCAGATCCACCTTGCTCGCCAGTGGGATATGGCTGGCCACAGCAATCTGCAATCAACACATGGAACAGCGAAAGAGAGAAGGAAAGACAACAGCAGACGTCATTCTGAGCCACGATCAAAGTTTGTTTTTTATTAATGTGTGTTGTAAACTGTCACAACAGCAAACCCTTTTCAACCAGACGGGCAGATCCAAGATTGAACAGCTTCACCTCGGGCAGATCCAAGATTGAACAGCTTCACCTCTATAGCAAACAACATGAAGCACACTCAGCAGATCCAAAATTGAAACAGCTTTAACTCTGTAACAAACAACATGAAGGACGCTAAAACAGTTATAGCACCTTTTCCTTGTACAGTCCTTTCTTCGCTATCCTTATGATTTCTTCAGGGTGGCCTTTTTATTTCTTGCAGCTCCTACTACTGTGCCTCTCATGTACAAGGCTTGCTGCATTGATAGTGGTTGAGCGCTGGCTGCCCACATCCCAGTGTGCAATGCTGCTACTAGCCATTTTTCAGCACACGTTCAGCTTATAGTTTCTGTTCCCTTAACGATGCTCATTCACATCCATTTAGTAGTTGTACACAACGGGAGGGAGGAAGGGGGATGGAGAGGAGTTCTACATGAGGGGAGGGAAGGGGGAGAAGTGGAAGAGGAGGGAAGTTGAGGGATGGAGCAAAGGAAAGACAAACTTCACAGGGTTCTCCGTACTCACCACCAGAGCAGATTACTACAGATTAAGCAAGAGGCCAGTCAGTGTTTGGGTCGCAGGGAAATTTGAGTTGAGCAGCAGCCATTGCCTCTGGTAAGGAGGCCAGTGGCCACTGCTGCAGACTGGACAAGACCGGTTCAGGTCTGAAGTGTGGAAGCCTCACATCCAATTCTCACACTTGCAGTTGCTGCATCAAATCGAATGGCGTATACAAATATCACAGGCTATGTGGCTTCTATATGCCAGGCACACACACGCACGGTGACCGCAACTGGATAGGCATTGCCGTTCCTGGCCCTGTGTACAAATAGGGCATGTCATGTTAGATGCCGCACACGAGTACAATGTTGCTGGTCACCATACATATGAGAACAAAGACTTTCATGAGCATAATCCTCACAACGCAAAGCATGTCCATCACATACTAGCTGAATCTCAGGCAGGGCTTCACAGTGTGGCATTGAGCAAGTTTCTTGGGTTTCAGAAGCCGACATTCCCTCTCTGTGGGCAGGCGATGACGGGGCCTGATCAAAAGTAAGGGTGTTTAGCTGTTGCAAGGTCTGGTCTGCAACAGCTTGCCCTGGTGGCGAGAACCTTTCAGTACGGCGCAGTGTAGGTGGTTCATGTGAGAGTCTATACGACACCTCAGGATGCTGTGTCTGTTGGATAAAGGAGATCCAATTATGGGCACAGACATAGGATGCCCAATGTTACATGTGGGACATGAATGGTGTTATGATACTGGCCGATTTCAAAGTACACATTCATGGGAAACTTTACAGCAGATCCTTTCATACCAGGGCAGTCAAATTGTTGCAACAAATTTCCATAGGTTTTTGCAATGCCAAGTGTCCACTCCGACCATGGGCCTCATGGTTGGGAACTTACAAACGGTCATTCTTACCGTAGCGTCCGAAAACCAGACCTTCACATTCGTGAAAATCAGGCTGATTGCTGGGGTCAACCCATAGCTGCTCAAGGATTTGACTCACGTCCGGATCCTTGGCAGTTTGCTCTACGAGTTCCTCCTTCAGTTTCTTTCGGAGGTCGTAGGAGTTCACAAGGCAAGTCATATACTCGGGGTGGTGAGACAATGCATCAGCACCTCGATTAATTTTTATGGTTTAACTCGAAGTCAAACACGTCAATCTCATGGAACCAACGAGTCAACGTACGGGACAAGGTAGTTCGCTCCTTGATCCATTTCAAGGTCTCACGATCTGAGAAGACCTTGAAACTGTGTCCCAAAAGATAGTGCATCCAATGATTCAATGCCTCGCGCAAAGTATAGATCTCGCACATGTACGTGGAAGTAGCTACCTTTTCATTGGGCATTTGTTTGCTGTAGTACTCAGGCAACAACAAGCCATCACCGTCATCTTGTTGCAGCATTGCGCCAATCCCATACTGGCTCACATCCGTAGTAACTACAAATGTGAGTTAGCAGTCTGCAATGTGGAGCACATGATAACTTACCAAGGCCTCTTTCAAGGCTTGAAAAGTGGTCTCACATATTGCATCCCACGTGTAAGATATGTTCTTGCTTGTTAATTTGGACAGTGGGCGAGCCACAATAGAAAATTGGGGCACGACAATATGATGCAAGACCAGGAAAAGAACGCAACTCATGAGCGTTCGCGCGTTAAGGCCACTTGCGTATGACCTCAACCTTGGTTGCCTCACGCTGCAGCAGACAACCGGTGTCCAAGATAAATGACGTTGTCCCTCCCAAACTCATTTTTTTCTAAGTTGAGATGAAGCTAAGTTTTCTTGAGGATGGTGAACACTTCCTCAAGGCGCTTCATGTGTTCCTCAATCAACTTGCTGAAAATCAGAATGCATCAAGATACACAACGACAAATCGACCAATCTGTTCGTGGAGGAACTTGTCCATAAGACTTTGAAAGGTGGTCAGTGCATTCGTGAGACCGAAGGGCATTACTGTGAAAGCCCGTCACGTGTCTTGCACGCAGTCTTGTGCTGGTCCGCGGGATCGACTTCAATCTGGTGGTACCCAAACTTGAGATCAATCTTGGAAAAAACATTGCACCTACCTGCAACATCAAGCAAATCATCTATATGTGTGGCAATGGGTACACATTCTTCCTTGTGATGTGGTTTAGACCATGGTAATCAATACACATATTGAATTTGCCTCGTTTCTTTAGGACAAACAGAACGGGTGCACCAAATTCAAATTCACTAGGCTTTATCCATCCCTTGTTCGTCATCTCATCAATTTGTTTTCGGACTTCCTCAAACTCGCCAGATCCCATATGGTATACACAACCCCGTGCGTTTTACCGATCCCATATGGTATACACAACCCCTTGTGATGTGGTTTAGACCACGGTAATCAATACACATATTTGAGTTTGCCTCCTTTCTTTAGAACAAACGGAACGGGTGCACCAAATTCAAATTCACTCGGCTTTATTCATCCCTTGTTAGTCATCTCATCAATCTATTTTCAGACTTCCTCCAACTCGCCGGATCCCATATGGTATACATAGCCCCTTGGAGGAACAACATCTTTGACCAACTCAAACATGTGTTTGACCGATCATGTGGGAACTCCATGGGGTTCGGCCCGAAAATCGGTCGAGTAGGCTTTGGATGCTTGTTGGGATCAACAGGGGTGGGGGATAGAAAAAAAGATCACCTAGATCAAGTCACAGATTATCAGTGACTCATTTGGAATAGAAGTAGATGCATGGATAGAAGTAGACTTAACATGCAACGTAAAATCATTGTTGGCCGGAAAAGTATAAGGTACATAAGTAGGACGAACAAAGGCAACATACACTGCTCATCCTCCTTATGCTTGCGCCATTTCTTGCAGAACTATAACATTAAGAAAAGTCACCAGGGATTCGAGCTTCTCATCCAAAAGGATGGGACACTTGTCCATGAAAAGCAGTTCCTTCCACTTGGTCCATTCACATTGGGATTGTAACCAGTTCAACCCGAGGACTGCCTTGAAGGGACACTTGTCAATGACATAGAAGTTTGCATGTGTGAGAGTCTTGTCTTGGTCAAAGGTAGTGCCCACACCTTTGACTACATGCGTGGATCAGACAACTTTGCTACCTACTCGAGTCCGGCAAGGGCTCTGCAAAGCCACTTGCTTCATCCTCATCCAGTGTGGTGACATAAAGTTAATTGTGGCACCACAATCAATCAAGACATGAAGATACCACAATCAATCAAGACACGAAGATACTGGTGGTTAATGAGAAATTTGAAGAAGATTAACTTCGTTGTCCCTTGAGCACGCTACTGTTTCATCTTCGCCCCATGCTCTAGGTGATTGTGATAGTCGACCTTCTCAGACTCCTCCCAAAGCTCAACATACAACACATGACAAGCATTAGCCTTCGAATCAGCATGAGTTGGGGCTTCAAAGGAAGACTGTTGGACCATGACATGTTCCTTGGGAGAACTATCACTGACCGGTTCATACTACCTTGTTGTAGAGTGTGTTCATGAACTTTCTATGCCCGATTCAGGTTTCCCTGCAACCTAAAGCATCCTTGGACCTTATGATTATGGCAAGGCAGGCAACCTCCTTGCCTCACTGATCCGGAGGTCAACCCAAGGTTTAGTACTTGCGTCCTCCGAATTGGCTGGGATTTAAGGAGTGAGACGAAGTTCCTTACTGAGTTCTGGTTTAGGTTTCCCTTACCACGGGCAGTCTTTTTGAAGGTACCAAATTATTCCTCTTCATTATCGATCTCGGATTCTTGGGCCGAAAAATAGGTTGTATCATCATCCTGGTCGTCACCAAGAGTGGGGTCATCTGCTTCAGCCTCCCCTTCAGCCTCCAACAAGTCGAGCACAGCAACACGGTTGTTGCCACGAAACCGTCCGTGAAGTGAGTTTTTTTTGCTGCTTGCTGCGGCGACGAGGCCTGCTGCCTCGAGACTGACTACATCCTTCATCAACGAAAACCAGTCGGTATAACCAAAAAGAATCCTTGCCAAGGCGATTCGTGGAAGTGGTGGGAACCGTACCTTTTACGACACCCAAGCACACCCAAGCACGATTGCGCTGTGTGGCAAAGAGTTGTTGACATGCAACTGCAACTTGTGCATGGTGCCCAACCACTTGCTGCGCTTGAGGTCATCAAGTTGGATCCTTACTCTTGCTGCAGCATGTGGGTCCTTATACTGTGCAATTAGCATCTCTTCGAGAGTGGCTACCGAGGTGACTTTAAGCCACTCTGTTAGATAGATTTTAGAATACCAAGCTTGCATAGCTTTGTCCCAAGGATCAAGGATTGATTCACTCCCTATACCTCAAAGTAAGCTCTCATGGAGGTGATCCAAGACTCGAC